GGATTTAGGGGTTTAGGGTTTAGCCTGGCAGCCCCTTAGGTTCTACAACAACCCCGAACTAGGAACACGGAAACAGCACAAGTTCAAGAAACACCTTAAAACATGTGCAGAGACCTGAATACTGGCGCACATTGAACCCAGTAGGACTAAAGCTGCGGGCATAGACCCGAATACTGGCACACATGAACCGAGTAAGACTAAAGGGGCGTGCATAAGTCCCGGCGTGTCATCGACACTCGGGTGCACCTCAGCTCCCCAGCAGGTCCTTGTTGAGAAGGAGGTTCGCAAACGCCTTCTCCTCGACGAAATCCTTGAACTTGAAAAATAACACGCCAGTAATAGTCACAGTGAAAGTAGCCGCAGTAGCAGGAGCAAAGTCAGTATTAATAGTAATGGCAGAAGCTTGCTGCGGCTGCTATGTCTGCTGCCTTTCTGGGTGCCTCCTCTGCGGCCGCTGAAGCTTCTACTACCGTACCTGCTCCTGCCCTGGCTGCTGCTCACAGGGGTGGTTGTCAAAATTATGGTCCCTTTTGGGTACCCTAAATATTAGGTGCCGTATTATAATAGGGATCCAAAAGGGACCATAATTTTGATTTGAGACAACCGCTACTGCAACGCACTCGGCAGCCATCACCGCTAATTCGGTTCTCCAGCACATTCCGGCTGCCAATGTAGGAACACTGCAACTACCTAAGGACATGTTGCACGTAATCTCAACATGCCCCAACACCAAGACCAACATGCCAGTCGCCGTCACCAGCACAACCAAAACCCTGCTACGTAAGAAGTCGAAGAAGGAGCAATACCAGCAAGATCAGCATTGGAAGCAGACCAGTGGCTCGTCCGTTCAGTCCATATGGTTAGTGAACGTGAGTAGTGGGGTTGCCCCCAAAAGCCGCAGGCATGAAGGTGCAACAAGTAATAACCAATAAGCCCGTATAACAGCTTCGCACAGGGCCCATCCGTTTCTCAAGCCCTGGTACCTCTGTGCAGTTTAGGCTGGATGGTGAAGCGCAATGGGCTGCTACCCAGGATTTTCACAAACGGGGCAGTATGGGCGACCCCTCTAAACCCTAAAGCCCTGAAGCCACATGTCATCCTTGTTTTATGCCTACATATCACTTGGGTCCTACGGACTCTCCTTCTGACAAGCCCCTGCAACCCAAGACCAAATAGACCAAAACCCTAGAGCCTGAGCCCTAGGCTCTCTCACCTCCATACCTTGGGTCGTTCCCCCTTACAGTATAACTGTTACCACAATGGGTTTTAGGAATTATAATAGCCCCTTAATAAGGCCCCCTTTAAGGACAGTTACTGGGAGGGCGAAGCACCCAATCCATACCCTAATACCTGGTCCTTAAATCCAATGTCCCTTAAACCTTAAACCCCAAGTTTGGCGGGAAACCCCTTGCCTCCTTCTTTCCGTCGATGGAACGGGCTGCGAGGGCCTCATCCCAAGACTCCTCAGAAGGGAGGGCCGCAGCTTTTGATTCACTAGGTTCCCCAGTAACCCCTTAATAATAACGGTACCCTTTTTCCTACCATTCAATTTTAATAAGGAGACCCCCAAATAGAAAGGGAAAAAGGGTACTGCTGGGGTACCTAGTTCAGGGTTCAGGGATGAATGTCTCGGATGTTTGGTTTTGGGGGCGGGAGGTCTCACATATGGCCCTTTAGTCGAATGAGCACATGCTCTGAGATTCTTATACATGTCGTATATACCATATCTGTACCCACTAGCCCCTAGAATCCCCAAACACAGTCCAAGAGCTTGAAGGTCCAGGGAAGCTGGGGCTTGGGGCTTTGGGGCGGGCTTCAGTGTTTTTTGAGATGAGTTCGTGGATCAGCTGCAGCGTTGTCCTTACCGATCGAGAATTCTCCGGCAAAATAGTGGTCTGCACTTTACGTGGAAGGCCGCCCATTCGCGGTTAAGAGTATAGGGTTTAGGGTGGCAAGAACACATCTGCTCCTGTCAAAGATCAACTCTGCGCCATCGAGACATGGACTACAAGCGCTTGAACCATCACCTGTCTGGGTTGCTGTTAAGGAACTTGAATTAAGTTACTATATTGGGGAAACCCTATTATTTACTATATATACCCATTATGGTAACTTAATTTAAGTTCCTTAACAGCAACCCAGCTGTATGACTTTGGAGTCCTTTTTGAGGTGCCCTGTACTATAAGCTATGCAATTGAACTCTTGTCATTAGAGACTTTCACTTGTAGGATGTTGGGGTCCAGCTGTTTCCCGGCCTTTTGTACGTGGTGCACCAAAGACTCGCATGAGAACTCCGTAAAACCCGAATCAGAGCTCCAAGTGTACCCCCCAACCTTTTGTCTCAGATTGTTCAACGTACAGCAGCTCGGGGGCCTTGACTGAGGTTTTGGGAGTAACCATATGGGGATTTCCCAAAATTAGGGGTACCCTTTTTGGGTCCCCATAATAAGGACCATAATATTTTGGGGTCTATATTGGGGTCTCCCTATTTTAGGAAACTACCATATTGAACCCGACGCCCCAGGATCAGCTCCTGCTGTGTTGGCTTCGTGGCTTCCAAGACGTACAGCCGCAGCGCCTGTTTTTGGAAGTGCTCAGGGATTTGCAGTTCGGCTTGGGCCGAGGGCAATGTGTTTAGGGCTTGCATGCGAAGATTTGGGACATAGCGTTGCAAAATCTAGGGGTCTCTCTTTAGGAGTTCAGCGTGAGGACTCAGGGGCTATAGTTTTGGGTTTCCGGATTGGGTTTTATGGCTTCAGAGTTTGTTACATCAGACTCACAAGTTTTAAAAGAAAGCTGTAGTAGAGAAGCACATGCAATAAACATCGGCGAATGGAAGCATCGAACTGCTGCATTGGCCCACAAAGTTCGAGAAGATGCCAGGCTCATGTTTGCTTCCGCCTTTTTCGTTGTGGTCGGTCATGGGTCTCAGAAGTGTTGGGGTTACAGATGCCCTGGATTTCTCGTGTAAGTTCTGTCTCGCCGCACCGCCTTCTTGCATGTGCTGTAGGCATCGTTGAAAACACTGACCGAGATGTAAGGACCACCAGATTATCCCCATATATCTTCAGATATCCCCAGGGTCCCTCAGGATACCCTAAACCCTAAACCCTAAACCCCAAACCCTAAACCCACTAAACCCTAAACTCTAAACGCTGCCTCGGGGTCATAGGCCTCCTTCGGCCAGCCCCAGGAAGCTGGGATATCCTCGCCATTCCAGATAACTACGGTAGGTTTGGGAGCCGTATAGTTAAGACATATGGCATTCTATACCGTAGGAGTAAGGGCATATACTGACAAAAAACGATGCGCAAACCTACCCCTGATAGAGTTCAAGGGCTAGAGAGGGACCGAGCGCGGATTTGAGTAGGGATTAGGGTCCCAGGGACTTCCGCGTTGAAGGGTTCGAACTTCGGGAGGCGGACTAGGCTACAGGGTCTCGGGATTGAACTTCAGGCCCTGGGCTCTCCGAGCGAGGGTTGACGCATCAGGACTGTAGGATTAGGCTAGGCTTTACGGTTCAGGGCTTAAGGCAAAACTGGGCAGGAGATTGGTATTGTCTGGCTTAACACAGTCTTACGGGAAGTGTCTAGGGCCTGCATGGTTATGAAAATTCTTCATTCGCAGGGTCACCAAACTACGGGTGCGTCCTTCGGAATACCTCCAACGGGATGCTACTTGGAGGGGATAAAGGGCAGAACATCCTCCTCCTCAGCAGCTGCAGTGCTGGCACCAGCCGTGGAAGCACTTGCTTGGGCAGTGCTCGCCTATCAGAAAACTCTGCAAGGGGATTGTGCGGATCTGAAAGAAGGAGAGAGAAGATATACATGCATACGTACATGCATAGAGTGCGTGTTATACATACACATGGGTTGCTGGGCTGGTTCGTACAAAGGGCTACAGAGATTATGAGACGCTTTAGTGGCATATCAGCCCTGTATGGATGTTTAGGCCCTTGAGGCTGTCTTGGTCCTCACCCCTCTTGCGTGGCTCAACGAAGGAGAACGCGTGATGCCGGCAAATAGTTCAAGGCCTGATAAGTTCCCTGAACCCTCGTGCTTACTGGGGACTAGCAGGGAATAAGGGAATATATTGTGTAGGGATCATGGACAGAAAACGGAAATTACTATAATAGAACAATAATAAGGTTTATATGGCTTGCTGTCAAAAAGGAACTGGAAAGAACGGTAACTACAGTATGATTGGGGACTATACAGGGGATGCTATAGAAATCCTTACTCCATCCACGACGAGTAAGAAAGTGAGCAAGAACACACCCAAAGCCACGGTCATGATGCATTCAACTACAGGGCTTCGCATATAGGATACTGGAGCGCCAAGTCGCAAAAATCATGAAGCGCTGCATGCCTTGGCTACCTTTTTTCGAACACTGTCCCTGAGGTCCTTTTTGCAACCGGACCGAGCCCGAGGTCCTAA